AGGAGTCCTCTGTCCTGCCCTATAGGAGTCCTCTGTCCTGCAGGAGTCCTCCGTGCTGTTAAGGAGCTTCAGTTTCTCCAGTTTTTTTTCCCCCAAGGGGAGCAGTGGGGGTGTAGTGGGTCCATTAATGATGGCATATATGTTAGTTACTGAGATGGAAAGAAGTGCCATTCAAAATACTCAAGCTTGTTTATTCAACTGGTCATTTGGTAATTTTCCCACATACAGTATCAAAGTCAACCTGCCAAAAAATATACTCAAAACACTGAGGATTATGTAGGAGTGAAGCTTCTTTGGAAATCACACAGCATCAGTCACTGTTCTCACAACACTGCCAGATGTAAATATATTGAAATCACTGATATCAATAAGTTCTATCATGGATTTCATGCAGGTCCACACCTCCACGTTACCACAAACATATTTTGCAAAAAAATAGGCTAAACAGTTCCTAGCGTTAAATTATCTAACACCATTTATACGAGGCCTCGTCTATTACAGACACTATAGAAATGACCTTTTAAAAGACTGACATCAAAAGCTGAATCAGGAAGCAAAAAAGGAGCGTGCAAAATCAGAGCGCAGCTGAACATCTAAGGGGTGGAAGGAGACTCTCAACCGCAGCAACATGAATCTTTGATGTGTTCAGCCGGTACTGCACAAGTGATGAGGACTATATCTAAAAAGAGATGCAAGTAATGAGCTCACAGGTGCTTTTTCTGCTGCTGCTGTGCATTTTGGACCGCCCTGACCACATGATTCAGCGAGTCTGTGGTAGAAAAGGCTAGGTACTGACAGCAGAGCCAGTCCTCCAAGCTCACCCCGCCAGCAGTGTCCAGGGAGCGCTCTGCGAACTTGATCATCATTAGTGTCTGTTTTAGGTCCAGCCAGCTCTGCATGATGGCCTCCCTGCTGGCTGGGTCCGGGTTGGCGGCCAGCGCCTGGAAGAGATCCTCCCGAGGGCCCCAAAGCAGGCACTGGAGGTACGCCCGGGCCTCTGCTATCTCCATGCGCTGCGAGGGATTGGCGCGGAGGAGCATGAAGGCTAGCGGCTGTAGGCCTTTTGAGTAGAGAGAGCGGGCGGGGAGCGGGGGCAGGTCAGCAGGGCTGTACTCCATCTCCTTGAGCTCGGGGACCTTCTCGAAGGGATTGGGTAGGTGGAGCATCTCGTAGATCAGGATCCCTGCCTGAAACTCGTCGCATTTCCTGTACTGGGTGCCTGCGAGGATCTCTGGGGCAAAGCGGGACCTGTCCCCCATCATGTCGGGCTCCGCCAGCTGGTTCATCACCTTGGCCTGAGTGAAGTTGCTAATGAGGAGTTGGGCGGGGCAGGTGGAGGCGGAGGCTGGTTCTTCGTCTCCGCCGCCCTGCCCCACACCATCCCGGCCCCGGGGCTGACACGTAACCAGCAGCAGGTTCTCCAGCTTCAGGTTGCAGTGGGTGACCTGATGCATCTTAGCATGCTCCAGGCCTTGGCACATCTGGAGCAGCAGCAAGCACACCTGACGCTCATACAGCTCCGGGTTCTGCCCGTGTCGTCCCACCCCCTCCCGCACAAAGTCTGCTGCCGTTTGGAAGGGGACCTCAGGGGTGATGATCACCATTCTGCTGTGGAGGCTGCCCACCATCCTGCTGTCCTGAGGCTGTCCCTGGGTGTGCCCGTTCCAACCTGGCACAAAAAGATGGGTTAGGAAATCCATCTCCTCCTTCCTTGCCCCCGCCTCACCCGGAACTGCACCCACCTCCATCCTTGCCCTCTTCCTCCTGCCCAGGTAGCAGGCGAGGGGGCAGATTGGCCAGGAGGTGACCGCAGTCCTGCTGGATGTTGAAGTGCGGCGCCATGCCCTGCCTGATGGCCACGCTGTGGAGGTGCTGCCGCTGGCCGTCTTTCCCTCTGCTCCTGCACACCTAGAAACACAGAGAGCAGAGCCGTTAAGACCTGAGCTGCTAATGCCAGGCATAGGGTAGCATAGTGCTTAGAGCTTAGAGGTGAAGCACTTGGAGATCAGAAGTCACACTTTAGGATTGCAATTCTTTATCAAAATATCTTTTCCTTTATGGTGATACTGTATAACTGGACTGTTCAAAACAATGTAGGTTTTTAATATAATCTCAAAGTTACACATACGTTAAGTGTGGAATGATTGTCTTTTCCTAAAACTGAAATTCCTAGTGTATAGACATACAGCAGTGGTGACCCTGGAATTTTTGCGCAAAAGCTCAGGGAATTGGGCAGGAACACCAGAACAGGAATGCCAGAACAGGAATGCCAGTTCATCACAGGATGAATTGCAAAGATTTGGTCAAAAAATGGTTAAAATGTAAAAAGCAACTACGTTTAAGCATAATAAACACTTGTTGTAGGATTGTGCTGTTCAGAAATATATATAACACAAACCATTTCAGGGGGAGAGTATGTGGAGTGACGGCCGGCTGATTGGTTGGATGTCGTTCAGACAGACCTTGATTGCGTAGGTGACTTGCGGCTCCTTGGCGCAGGTGGCGGTGTAGTAGAATGCATCTGCGGACTCGCAGCAAGGCTTGCTGCCAGTGAGCCTGAAGTCAGTCCAGCTGTCCATGGCAAAGTGCAGGCGCTCACTGGGTCTGCCCATAAAGCGCTCCTCACATCTGCCGGCCAGTTTACGCAGCATGTCCCTGTGCAGCCGGCGGATCCGGGAGCTCATCTCCTCCCAGTTCTCCATGCCCTTGAAAAGTGGCTGCGTCTGGGGCCTGGCTACAGGCTCCCTCACTGCTCGCCGACCCGAGGTCAGCAGGGACTCTGTGCTGCGGGCACCCCTCCTGTTCCCCTCAAAGGAGGGGATGGCAGAGGAAATCAGGCAGGATAGGCTGTTTGCTGGCCGCCCCTTCACTAGGTTTGACAGCTCCGAGGTATACTGGAATTCCTGCTCCAGAGGCTGTGACTCAAAGGAGTCATGGCTGTTCGCGTCCCAGGTGGAGTACAGGGGGTTTACGACACTCAGGTTGGCTTCACCTTGCCGGCTTGTAGTACTGGGCAGTTTCAGTGAACCTTGATCCTTCTCTGCAAGACCTATCATGGTGACAACTGGGGTCTTCTTGGGCAGAAGAGGTGGTGCAAAACTGGAGCTGCTGTCTGAACTCATTGGGTCAACAGGACCTAAGATCCTCTCTGAAGGATTGTTGTTTCGGGGCTTCTTCTCTGGGGTCATGTTGACCCTGAAAAGTCCTGCAAAACAGCAGCTCACTATTCAGGAAAGCATCTCCCCAAAGCATACAGCTGTCTAAGGGGAAATACAATATGAATATTGTTTTTTACCAGCCCCTCCTATGAAGATCCATCCATTTTCCATAGCCACTGTCCATATCTGGGGCGTGGTGAGCCAAACACTCAAAGTGAACACACTCCTCACTGAGCCACATGCTACCCCCTAATATAGACACCTCATTTACTATTGTTTATGCATCACTAGGCGTCTTGTGGGTTTGCAATATTGGACCGGTCAAGATCCGCTAGTAAACAAATACAATGTGTATTGAAAGAAATACTTTTCTACAAAATCAACTGAAATTCAGGTCTTTTTAATTGAAACGGTAATTAACAAACCCTAGCTCATAGTGCCCGCCCCCCGACATGGATTAGGTGGTCACCCTAATACACATGAATAACAAGGGCTAACAAGGAGCAGGTGTGGGCTATTACAAACAAGAGGCTAGGGGCAACGAGGAGCAGGTGTGGGCTATTACAAACAGGAGACTAGGGACAACGAGGAGCAGGTGTGGGCTATTACAAACAGGAGACTAGGGACAATGAAGAGCAGGTGTGGGCTATTACAAACAGGAGACTAGGGACAACGAGGAGCAGGTGTGGGCTATTACAAACAGGAGACTAGGGACAAAGAAGAGCAGGTGTGGGCTATTACAAACAGGAGACTAGGGACAACGAGGAGCAGGTGTGGGCTATTACAAACAGGAGACTAGGGACAACGAGGAGCAGGTGTGGGCTATTA